TGGATGGGAAATGATTAAATTTTAGGAAAAAAAACTGTGAAAGACAAAGAATGAAATTAATAGAATTAAATTGTTGGTTGTTTATGATAATAAAAATTAATTTGAAAATAAATGAATGATTTAGCTAAGATGTTCAGATCAATCTTATAAAAGTTCATTTTGATATATCTTATCAGCTAAACAATTGAAATGTGTTATTTATCAATTAGCTGTGTGATCAGCGTAAGAGCGTTTAAGAAAAAAAATTGATAAATTAACAAATCATTAAAAGTGCTTTCATTTGAATGCAAATGAATTTAGGAAAGGAGAAATTGTCACAAAAATGTCACACTGATTATAACTGATAGAATATTGATATTATAAAAATAATTTAACATTTAATATCCTTAATCTACTTAAATTACATTGATATTGTGATATGATAATATTGGTAAATTATTTACACTGATTTGATAATATTGATTAAATCAGTTGAATCAATTAATGCTTTTAAAGAATGCGGCATTGATCATTTAATGATTTAATGAGCAAAAAAAAAAAAAAAAATTATATTAAATTTCTCATAATTTCATTCAGTTTAACAGCAAATGTTTTGAATCTAATAGATTTAATCAATAATAATTAGGATTCTATAGCAGTTTTACTAATTATCAATTAATTAGTTATTTTTAAAAGTTATCAAATATAGTTCTGATAATAACTTCATATTATCACGAATCAATTATTCTAAAAAAGATTTGAGCGCAAAATTAAAATTATAAATTCAAATATAAGCATAAAACTGCTGAAATTGTTAAAATATGCATAAATTACGTAAAACTGATAGCTGTAATTATTTGAAACTATTAAAACTGAATGGAATTTTTTTAAATAATAAACTTTTCTTAATTAAATGAAAAAATTAATTTGACAAAAATATAATTTAAGCTAAAAATATAAATATAAAATTCTGCTTTTGAAACTTAGGTAACATTAGATGAAAAATTTAACACTTATTGGCTTGGCTAGTAGAGATATGATAACAGTTTATATCAATTATAAATTTATCACTAAAGTCAAATTTTTATATCAGATTGCAAAAATTATAAAAATTTTTCTCGAGAAATATATCAATCGGTAAAGCTTATTTAATTAAATTAAGCTACAAAAATCTAGCAAAACAAAAATTTTAAGTTATTTTAAAATAAAAATAGGTGCAAGAAAATGTTAAATTTGAAATTTTGCAATCATTTAGCTTTCAGCATGAAGGTAATATGTAAGCTTAATTGCTAAACTTTTTGATTTTGATTAAAGTAATATATAATAAATTAAAGTAATATATAATCAATTTTTTGATTTTGATTAAAGTAATACTTAATAAATTTTTTTTAATTAAAGTAATATTAAAAACTATTTCAAAAATTATTGGTATTAAAATTGAAAAGATTATAAATTCAAACCACATGTAAATTCTTGATAGGATTTTTATCCTGAAATTAATTATAAATATGTTTTGAAATTTGCTCATTTTTATAACAAATAATCTTTGCTTTTTCAAAATTTCTCAAATTTTGAAGGAACTACAACTATTACCAATTTCAGGATTTAAAAAAAAAAAAATAAGTGACAAAATTTGTTATTTCATACTCGAGGAATTTCATAAGAAAAATTTAATTATTATTATTAATTATCAATTTATTTTCAGTGTTCAATTGTTATTTTATGATTAGTTTTTTTTTTTTTTTTTTTTTTTTCGACAAAGAAAATTTTGTCAAATAATTGAACATTTGTCCACAAAATTGTTATTAGCTTTATTGGATAGTTCAAACAATCATTTTTTGATTTGTCTAAAATGATCGTGATTTGATTCTAAATGATTGCAGTTATTTTGATCAATTAGCTATGATCAATGCTTTTTTTTTTTGAACTGATTATTATTCAATGATAATTTTCCTAAATGTAAAGAAAAAAAAAGGACGAAAATGAATTGCTTTTTGATCATTTATTAGTTGCATTGATTGCCATTGATTAGCATATATCACCGTACCTCTTGGTACCGCACCTTTTGGTACCGTACCTCTTGGTACCGTACCTTATGGTACCGTACTTTTTGTTATTGTACCTCTTGTTACCGTACCTTTTATCACCGTACCTCTTGGTACCGTACCTCTTATCACTGTACCTCTTGGTACCGTACCTTTTGGTACCGTACCTCTTGTTACCGCACCTTTTGGTACCGTACCTCTTGTTACCGCACCTTTTGGTACCGTACCTTTTGGTACCGTACCCTTTATCACCGTACCTCTTGGTACCGTACCTCTTATCACTGTACCTCTTGGTACCGTACTTTTTGTTATTGTACCTCTTGTTACCGTACCTTTTGGTACCGTACCTCTTGTTACCGCACCTTTTGGTACCGTACCTCTTGGTACCGTATTTTTGTTATTGTATCTTTTGGTACCGTATCTTTTGTTGATGTACCTCTTGTTACCGTACTTTTTATCACTGTATCTCTTGGTACCGTACCTCTTATCACTGTACCTTTGGTACCGTACCTCTTGGTACCGTACCTTTTATCACCGTACCTCTTGGTACCGTACCTTTTATCACCGTACCTCTTGGTACCGTACATTTTTGTTATTGTATCTTTTAGTACCGTATCTTTTGTTAATGTACCTCTTGTTACCGCACCTTTTATTATTCTACTTCTTGGTACCGTACTTTTTGTTATTGTACCTCGTGGTACCGTATCTTTTATTACTGTACATCTTGGTACCGTACCTCTTGTTACCGTAATTTTTATCACTGTATCTCTTGGTACCGTACCTCTTATCACTGTACCTCTTATCACTGTACCTCTTATCACTGTACCTCTTATCACTGTACCTCTTATCACTGTACCTCTTATCACTGCACCTCTTATCACTGTACCTCTTATCACTGCACCTCTTATCACTGAACCTCTTATCACTGCACCTCTTATCACTGTACCTTTTATCACTGCACCTCTTATCACTGTACCTCTTATCACTGCACCTCTAATCACTGTACCTCTTATCACTGTACCTCTTATCACTGTACCTCTTATCACCGTACCTCTTGGTACCGCACCTTTTGGTACCGTACCTCTTGTTACCGCACCTTTTGGTACCGTACCTCTTGGTACCGTACCTTATGGTACCGTACTTTTTGTTATTGTACCTCTTGTTACCGTACCTTTTATCACCGTACCTCTTGGTACCGTACCTCTTATCACTGTACCTCTTGGTACCGTACCTTTTGGTACCGTACCTCTTGTTACCGCACCTTTTGGTACCGTACCTCTTGTTACCGCACCTTTTGGTACCGTACCTCTTGGTACCGTACCCTTTATCACCGTACCTCTTGGTACCGTATTTTTGTTATTGTATCTTTTGGTACCGTATCTTTTGTTGATGTACCTCTTGTTACCGTACTTTTTATCACTGTATCTCTTGGTACCGTACCTCTTATCACTGTACCTTTTGGTACCGTACTTTTTGTTATTGTACCTCTTGTTACCGTACCTCTTGGTACCGAACCTCTTGTTACCGCACCTTTTGGTACCGTACCTTATGGTACCGTACTTTTTATTATTGTACCTCTTGTTACCGTACCTTTTATCACCGTACCTCTTGGTACCGTACCTCTTATCACTGTACCTCTTGGTACCGTACCTTTTGGTACCGTACCTCTTGTTACCGCACCTTTTGGTACCGTACCTCTTGTTACCGCACCTTTTGATACCGTACCTCTTGGTACCGTACCCTTTATCACCGTACCTCTTGGTACCGTACCTCTTATCACTGTACCTCTTGGTACCGTACTTTTTGTTATTGTACCTCTTGTTACCGTACCTTTTGGTACCGTACCTCTTGGTACCGTACCTTTTATCACCGTACCTCTTGGTACCGTATTTTTGTTATTGTATCTTTTGGTACCGTATCTTTTGTTGATGTACCTCTTGTTACCGTACTTTTTATCACTGTATCTCTTGGTACCGTACCTCTTATCACTGTACCTTTTGGTACCGTACTTTTTGTTATTGTACCTCTTGTTACCGTACCTCTTGGTACCGAACCTCTTGTTACCGCACCTTTTGGTACCGTACCTCTTGGTACCGTACCTTTTATCACCGTATTTCTTGTAACCGTACTTTTTATCACTGTACCTCTTGGTACCGTACTTTTTGTTATTGTACCTCGTGGTACCGTATCTTTTATTACTGTACCTCTTATCACTGTACCTCTTGGTACCGTACCTTTTATCACCGTACCTCTTGGTACCGTACTTTTTGTTATTGTACCTCTTGTTACCGTACCTTTTGGTACCGTACCTCTTGGTACCGTACCTTTTATCACCGTACCTCTTGGTACCGTACCTTTTATCACCGTACCTCTTGGTACCGTAATTTTTGTTATTGTATCTTTTAGTACCGTATCTTTTGTTAATGTACCTCTTGTTACCGCACCTTTTATTATTCTACTTCTTGGTACCGTACTTTTTGTTATTGTACCTCGTGGTACCGTATCTTTTATTACTGTACCTCTTGGTACCGTACCTCTTGTTACCGTACTTTTTATCACTGTACCTCTTGGTACCGTACCTCTTGTTACCGTACTTTTTATCACTGTATCTCTTGGTACCGTACCTCTTATCACTGTACCTCTTCGTACCGTACTTTTTCTTATTGTACCTCTTGTTACCGTACCTCTTGGTACCGTACTTTTTGTTATTGTACCTCGTGGTACCGTATCTTTTATTACTGTACCTCTTGGTACCGTACCTTTTATCACCGTACCTCTTGGTACCGTACATTTTTGTTATTGTATCTTTTGGTACCGTATCTTTTGTTAATGTACCTCTTGCTACCGTACTTCTTGTTACCGTACTTTTTATCACTGTATCTCTTGGTACCGTACCTCTTATCACTGTACCTCTTGGTACCGTACTTTTTGTTATTGTACCTCTTGTTACCGTACCTCTTAGTACCGAACCTCTTGTTACCGCGCCTTTGGTACCATATCCTTTGTTAAAACGGTGATAGGAAGTACGGTACCAAGATACAGTGATAAAAGTACGGTAACAAAGTACGGTACCAAGGTACAGTAATAAAGATACGGTACACAACGGTGATAAGTACGGTACCAAGAGGTACGGTACCAAAGGTACCAAGAGGTACAGTGAAAAGGTAAGTAACAAAATACAATAAATGCGGTACCAAGAGGTACAGTGATAAGAGGTACAGTGATAAGAGGTACAGTGATAAGAGGTGCAGTGATAAGAGGTACAGTGATAAGAGGTGCAGTGATAAGAGGTGCAGTGATAAGAGGTACAGTGATAAGAGGTGCAGTGATAAGAGGTACAGTGATAAGAGGTACAGTGATAAGAGGTGCAGTGATAAGAGGTACAGTGATAAGAGGTACGGTGATAAGAGGTACAGTGATAAGAGGTACAGTGATAAGAGGTGCAGTAATGGCGGGGGGCGGGACGAAAAGGGGCGTGGCCATGCGGGCGTGGCGGAGGCGGGGCGAAAAGGGCGTGGTCAAGCAAGCGTATTAGGGGCGGGGCGACGAAGGCGTGGCCTGTAGGCGCGGGGGTGGTAGCGGAGCGATGAGGGCTGAATAAATTTCTGAATGAATTTTTCTAGAATTAAAACGACCAGAAAAGAATGAGATAAAAGGACAAAAACAAAATAAAAAGTTAAAATTGCAAAGGCTATTGAAAGTTTTATGATCAATAATTTTTTTTTTTAAATGGAATTTCCGTATGGTATTTCATTGAATTTTTATGTCTTTTTTTCTTGCTTAACAAAAAAAAAAAAAAAAAATGAGAACAAAAAATATGATAGGAAAGAAAAAGAAAAAAAACCTAAAATTACAAAAAAAAAAATCATGTTTGCTATCTGTTTTGATGATAATAAATTGAATAACTCAGTGATTAAATTAAATTATGAAATAATTTTTATTTTTAGTTGCAATATAATATAGAATAAAAGTATCAATTAAACTATTTAGTACCTAAATTAGATTAGTTAAAAAAATCAGCGAAACAAAAAATATTCATTTAAAAATGATGAAATTAATGAAATTGAAAAAATATTTTTCTTTTTAAGAAAAACTAATTTTCTTTTAAAGTTTCAAAGAATTTGGTAAATATTGTTACTGTTATTGTTATTATTGCTACCTTTCAAATTTAACTACTAATATATGTCATACCTTTTTTTTTCTTTTTTTTTTTTTCAAAATTTGTCTACTTAAATTACTATACTTTTTTTTTTGGTGATATTTAAATGGTTATGCTTTATTTAAATTTATTCTAGCATGTGGAATTCTAGCATGTTTAAGGATATCTATTTGGTATTATTTAATTTAGAATATTTGGAATGTAATATTGTTTATCTTGTATAATAGCTCAAATATTTTAGAAAAAGTAATAAATTTTGATTTTCTAGCTGAAGTTTTTTTGGGAAAATTGTTCTGGGAAGTATAATAATTATAAAATAAATAAATGTATCGAATATGATATATGTTGAAATGGAATCAAACTATTATATATGTTGATTGAAATGGAATCAAACTAAAAAAAAAAACTTTTGTATTGATTGAAATAATTGTATAAAAGTAATGTGACATAACTAATAAAATGAATTGTTCTCTTTTTCCTAATTTCAAATTTTAATTTAATATGATAATTAATTTTGTTTGCTATTTATATGTCAATGATATATTATTTCATTTGATTTTTTCATTATAATAGGATAATTTTTGTGATATGAAATTACATTATAATACAGTTATACATCTTCTTTTCTTTCTTTTTCAAAAAAAAAAAAAAAAAAGTTCTTATGAAAATTTGAAATTTTATGAATTGATAAAATATGTAAGAAAATAAGTTTTTTTTTTTTTTTTTTTTTTAAATTAAGCACAAGTGATAAAAAATTATTTTGAAAATTTTAAGTCGGAAAAATTTGAAATGTTTGTGAATATTTTTGTCACTTTTGTAACTGATTGAAACACACTGATAATAATAAATCAATTTTCAAATCGATTTATGAGATAAAAAAAAAAAAAGAATTATTTGTTGCACATAAGATTGATTTATTATTATCAAATAGATTAATTGATTTAATGGATGGGAAATGATTAAATTTTAGGAAAAAAAACTGTGAAAGACAAAGAATGAAATTAATAGAATTAAATTGTTGGTTGTTTATGATAATAAAAATTAATTTGAAAATAAATGAATGATTTAGCTAAGATGTTCAGATCAATCTTATAAAAGTTCATTTTGATATATCTTATCAGCTAAACAATTGAAATGTGTTATTTATCAATTAGCTGTGTGATCAGCGTAAGAGCGTTTAAGAAAAAAAAATTGATAAATTAACAAATCATTAAAAGTGCTTTCATTTGAATGCAAATGAATTTAGGAAAGGAGAAATTGTCACAAAAATGTCACACTGATTATAACTGATAGAATATTGATATTATAAAAATAATTTAACATTTAATATCCTTAATCTACTTAAATTACATTGATATTGTGATATGATAATATTGGTAAATTATTTACACTGATTTGATAATATTGATTAAATCAGTTGAATCAATTAATGCTTTTAAAGAATGCGGCATTGATCATTTAATGATTTAATGAGCAAAAAAAAAAAAAAAAATTATATTAAATTTCTCATAATTTCATTCAGTTTAACAGCAAATGTTTTGAATCTAATAGATTTAATCAATAATAATTAGGATTCTATAGCAGTTTTACTAATTATCAATTAATTAGTTATTTTTAAAAGTTATCAAATATAGTTCTGATAATAACTTCATATTATCACGAATCAATTATTCTAAAAAAGATTTGAGCGCAAAATTAAAATTATAAATTCAAATATAAGCATAAAACTGCTGAAATTGTTAAAATATGCATAAATTACGTAAAACTGATAGCTGTAATTATTTGAAACTATTAAAACTGAATGGAATTTTTTAAATAATAAACTTTTCTTAATTAAATGAAAAAATTAATTTGACAAAAATATAATTTAAGCTAAAAATATAAATATAAAATTCTGCTTTTGAAACTTAGGTAACATTAGATGAAAAATTTAACACTTATTGGCTTGGCTAGTAGAGATATGATAACAGTTTATATCAATTATAAATTTATCACTAAAGTCAAATTTTTATATCAGATTGCAAAAATTATAAAAATTTTTCTCGAGAAATATATCAATCGGTAAAGCTTATTTAATTAAATTAAGCTACAAAAATCTAGCAAAACAAAAATTTTAAGTTATTTTAAAATAAAAATAGGTGTAAGAAAATGTTAAATTTGAAATTTTGCAATCATTTAGCTTTCAGCATGAAGGTAATATGTAAGCTTAATTGCTAAACTTTTTGATTTTGATTAAAGTAATATATAATAAATTAAAGTAATATATAATCAATTTTTTGATTTTGATTAAAGTAATACTTAATAAATTTTTTTAATTAAAGTAATATTAAAAACTATTTCAAAAATTATTGGTATTAAAATTGAAAAGATTATAAATTCAAACCACATGTAAATTCTTGATAGGATTTTTATCCTGAAATTAATTATAAATATGTTTTGAAATTTGCTCATTTTTATAACAAATAATCTTTGCTTTTTCAAAATTTCTCAAATTTTGAAGGAACTACAACTATTACCAATTTCAGGATTTAAAAAAAAAAAATAAGTGACAAAATTTGTTATTTCATACTCGAGGAATTTTATAAGAAAAATTTAATTATTATTATTAATTATCAATTTATTTTCAGTGTTCAATTGTTATTTTATGATTAGTTTTTTTTTTTTTTTTTTTTTTGCGACAAAGAAAATTTTGTCAAATAATTGAACATTTGTCCACAAAATTGTTATTAGCTTTATTGGATAGTTAAAACAATCATTTTTTGATTTGTCTAAAATGATCGTGATTTGATTCTAAATGATTGCAGTTATTTTGATCAATTAGCTATGATCAATGCTTTTTTTTTTTGAACTGATTATTATTCAATGATAATTTTCCTAAATGTAAAGAAAAAAAAAGGACGAAAATGAATTGCTTTTTGATCATTTATTAGTTGCATTGATTGCCATTGATTAGCATATATTATCTGAAATATGAGCTAATATTCGATTACTTAAAATTGAATTGCAAATTCAAGAATCAAATATTGCTAATAATTGAAAATAGCAATGACTAAATTTATAAGTAACATAATTTTTTACTTTTTTTTTTACTAATTTTTTACTTTATTACTTTTTCTAAAATATTTGAGCTATTATACAATGCAAGATAAACAATATTACATTCCAAATATTCTAAATTAAATATTAGCAAATAGATGTCCTTAAACATGCTAGAATTCCACATGCTAGAATAAATTTAAATAAAGCATAACCATTTAAATATCACCAAAAAAAAAAGTATAGTAATTTAAGTAGACAAATTTTGAAAAAAAAAAAAAAAAAAAGGTATGACATATATTAGTAGTTAAATTTGAAAGGTAGCAATAATAACAATAACAGTAACAATATTTACCAAATTCTTTGAAACTTTAAAAGAAAATTAGTTTTTCTTAAAAAGAAAAATATTTTTCAATTTCATTAATTTCATCATTTTTAAATGAATATTTTTTGTTTCGCTGATTTTTTTAACTAATCTAATTTAGGTACTAAATAGTTTAATTGATTCTTTTATTCTATATTATATTGCAACTAAAAAATAAAAATTATTTCATAATTTAATTTAATCACTGAGTTATTCAATTTATTATCATCAAAACAGATAGCAAACATGATTTTTTTTTTTGTAATTTTAGGTTTTTTTCTTTTTTCTTTCCTATCATATTTTTTGTTCTCATTTTTTTTTTTTTTTTTTTGTTAAGCAAGAAAAAAGACATAAAAATTCAATGAAATACCATACGGAAATTCCATTTAAAAAAAAATTATTGATCATAAAACTTTCAATAGCCTTTGCAATTTTAACTTTTTATTTTGTTTTTGTCCTTTTATCTCATTCTTTTCTGGTCGTTTTAATTCTAGAAAAATTCATTCAGAAATTTATTCAGCCCTCATCGCTCCGCTACCACCCCGCGCCTACAGGCCACGCCTTCGTCGCCCCGCCCCTAATACGCTTGCTTGACCACGCCCTTTTCGCCCCGCCTCCGCCACGCCCGCATGGCCACGCCCCTTTCGTCCCGCCCCACCATTACTGCACCTCTTATCACTGTACCTCTTATCACTGTACCTCTTATCACTGTACCTCTTATCACTGTACCTCTTATCACTGCACCTCTTATCACTGTACCTCTTATCACTGTACCTCTTATCACTGCACCTCTTATCACTGTACCTCTTATCACTGCACCTCTTATCACTGTACCTCTTATCACTGCACCTCTTATCACTGTACCTCTTATCACTGCACCTCTTATCACTGCACCTCTTATCACTGCACCTCTTATCACTGTAC